AAATATAATATTCTGAGGTTTTCGGATCTGTCAGCACAGATCTGATGACTGGAAAACAAAACTAAAGAGCTTCTGACTCAGACAGATAAAGCACCAAGGAGCCATTTGGATGCCGACTATAACTCCAACTTTGTTCTTCAGTAGTAACAATGCACCACTGCAAGGCTGTGAGTCATTCAGGGAACAGACAGCGCATTCAAGTTCCTCAAAATAAGAAACAAACGAGAGCCAGGGAAACTCTTTAGAGAAGATACAGATAAAGGCACACAATAAGTTGCATACAGATATCACCCAGTTGTGCAAAACTCCACAATTCAATTTGTTATGAGATCATAACGAGTCTGATTTTGTCTCAAGAATCCTGCTGCTTTGCTGCACAACAATAATTTCAAAAGAATGTAAACCATGATCAACAGCTTGCAATAACAGACCTCTCACTACAAACTAAGGCTTTAAAAAGCAATTTCATTTATGAAGCCTTTGCTGCTTGGTTGGGATTGACACTTGGCTTGAGCATCATACTGTGTATCTCACTACCAGCTTTGTGATTGTATCATAAAAGTGTATAACAAAGGTTAGCGTGATGTTCTGAAGAGATTTGATGTTGTGCTGGGAGCGGTGGATTGCCATTTGTGGAAAGAGTGCAGTTTGCTTTTTATTATCACATTCTTGTCTGTTCATGCAACACATCTGAAGTAATGCCAATAAAGGTGTAGAGCGCTCTGACAGACCTACCTGCAGTCTAGGAACAGTTGCACAGTTTTGTGTAAAATGGCAAACGTTTTTCTTTTCAAGCATCAAGGAGATAATCAGAGAAAATAATCAGTGACATATTTTGTTTGATTTGTAAACATATTGTGATGACTGAATTTACAGTGCAGTAAAAGGTTGATGTTTCTTCTTTACACACAAAATGTAATCTGCTTATATACATGTGATTACTGGCGATGATAAATGGTAAAATGAACATTTGTTAATTATCTAAATAATCTGTGTATTTTCATATTCTTTTCTAAACTGTTTTTTTACTAAAAATAAAGTGTATTTAACGAAAGGACTTATACGAGTATAATAATATACTTTTCCTTAGGCTGTGGCTATGACGCATTTATTTTTATTATTCACAGAAAATTTTGAATCTGACATTTGAAGCTGTGGTTTACTGGAGACAGACGTTTCTCGTCTTCATGCTTTATAGAGTTTTACTGAGATGTGAACATTGTATCAACGTACTCAAATCATCAGCAGGAAAAACAGGTTTATGCCACTATGATTAATTTGTCTTCAAACCCAACTGCTGAACCTAAACAAGCAGTCACTCACCTGTGTCCAGAGCTCCACCATGTTCCTCTTCTCTTTGCCCGCCTCCCTCTTCGTCCTCTCCCCTCCGTGTGAGTGCTCGTGTCCACCTCCCTCCTTGTGTACTCGAACAACATTCTCATGATGAGCATGATCATGTCCGTGATCGTGAGTGTGCCCATGTCCGTGATCGTGGCCGTGATCGTGAGTGTGCCCATGTCCGTGATCGTGGCCGTGATCATGAGAGTGGCCGTGGCCGTTTCCGTGATCGTGGCCGTGATCGTGGCCGTGATCGTGCTCCTCTTCCTGCAGGTTGGCCTCAGCGCTCCACTTGCTTGCTCCATGGAACATCTTCACCTGAGAGCCATGGGAGTGCCCATGGTGGTCGTCCTCGCCGTGTGAGTGGCCGTGGTGGTGGTGATGGTGGCCGTGGGTATGTCCATGGTCACCATGGGAATGGCTGTGAGCAGTGGCTAAATGGGATGCTAACAACAGTACTGCAGATGTTGCCAATGTCAATGCCAGCAGACGTACACAGCCCATATTAAAACCCTGGGATGTAGAGAAAGGAGAAGAAGACATCTAATAAATAAAAACCCAGCAGCATCAAAACTGAAGCCAAAGTGAGGGTGAAGAAACAGACTCTAAGTTTAAACTGTCCAACCAAATGACATTAAGGAAATCTTTAAAGGTTTGATGCAAAATTAACTATGAAATTCCCTTCTGTAGACAGTTTCCACATCCTTAACAACAGAGGGTCAATCTGTTTGTAACACTGCAGTTTAATTTTCTTCAGGTTTAAGATTAAGGCTGCTGACAGACAGGGAAATGCAGCTGATCAGGGTCGGGTGGACCACACTTTGAGTCACTGAACTGGACCTCATGACTCTGTTTGTGTTGTTATTGCCTTATTGAACAATTGTCAATGAAATTGTAATACTTTACTAGTCTCATCTATATTAAGCAGTTTAAAATGCAGCTTGGTAACCAAGCTAGCATCAGCTGATAACTACCACCTTCTACTCCAAATATAGTAACTTCCTGCTCCTTTAACAAGAAGAATCCAAGACCAATGGGTGATGCAATAATGGTTATGTTCCTCATTTATATACAGTTATGGCTGTAACTCAGAGGGCATGTTTACATCTACACTCAAAGCTTCTCAGTTAGTCTCAGGCCGTCTTTGTAGAGCCTACGACGTAACCTGTGTAAGTTGCTGAACTCTACTGGCATTTATGCTTGTGCCTGGTGCATTATATGTTAATTTATTTGTGGTCATGTCCTGATGTTTTATATATGGTGGTTTGTTAGAACCAGATACAATGTTGGGACTTCTTTCCCTTCTGGGTGCCAACCCTTTGTTTTGATCATTTCTTGCAAACATATTTGTGTTAAGCTTTTTTCACTTCTTTATACATTCCCTTTTGTTTCACCAGTCTCTCCCCAGGAATTTGCTGACATTTGTGAGTCTTTATATTGATGCTATGATTAGTCCTATTCCTTATAGTGAGATAATGATTGTTATTCTCTTACTGACAAATTCAAAAACTGAGGCGAAAAATTAGATGAAGGAATTGACTGTACTCAACAGGACAGTTAAAACAGTTGTGCGCTGCGTAGAGCCGATGTGTAGTTAGGTGCATGTTTGGTTGTAGGTTATAGCATAGGGTTCAGAGGGGTTTGTGGTTATGACGTAGGTTTCCTGTTGAAGCACAAATCCCCAGTCACTCTTTGTTGCACTGTCTACGCATGTACATACAGTGCAACAAGTTATTGAGCATAGTCCTCGATGTTATCTTTATTTAATCAGTAAACATCTAGCCATATTTTAGGATCACGTTCTGTTCATGGTGAGTTTAAAAATCACAAGAAGAACAGAGTATGAGTCAGAATCAATCTTTGGCCCAAACAGTTTGTGTGACATCCAAGGTATTTCAAGAGGAAATTAGAAACTACGCATGTACAGACAAGTTACTGCAGAAACGAGCACTTTCTTTAAATGCAGGATTCGAGCTATTCTCCAAGATCTGAGACGTCAAAAAATAAGCCTTAATAAGCCTAACCTATTAATATATGACTACGTATGTCATTCCGTGCGTCTTAGGACGCATTTCCAGTAAGAAATGGGATCCGCACCAAATGTGGCGATTGATCAGTGAACTGATCAATATAACAGCGAATTATCCTTAATACATCAGAGTTTGCATGAAGCCGTTGCAACTGTCCACTGCTGTGACTCCAGACTGAAGCTCTTCAAATTAAAAAGCAAACTTTGTAGCTTGTTTTTTTGTGCTTTTAGCTGGTTTGCTTTGATATAATACTGTAATACATCGCTGCATGTGTATGTATGTGCACCAGCATCTGCTGATGTGTGCTTGCAGCCGTATCATTTTAGCTGTGACGATATAATGAAGTGAAGGTAATCGGACTTTGACTGAGCTAGCTTTGTCTTCTCTTGTGATTGTTTATTTGCTCACTGTTTGGTGGGTGAAAGTGGATAATCCCTGTGGAGAGCATCAACTTTAATCTCAAAGTAAACAGCAAAAGCCGCTCAAAGAGGACCACTGACCACAGGTTTCAATTAGCTGTTAGGAAAGTCTGCTAGCTGGCTAGCTAGCTAGTTACTAAACTTGCTAGCATGTTGCTGCAGCAGAAGCAACATGTCTGAATGCAACATGATAACAGAAAAAAATAAAGATTAAAATCTTACCAGATCGTGCCAGATATCACCGAGTGTCGGCCACTTGATAACCGTCTGTCCTGGGTTCAGAACTACCAATATTTCTGCCTACGTTGATGATGCTGGTGGCTGAGAATAAGACGTGGCATTTACTCAACTAAACTAAACGAAACCTCGCGGGAACGCGTTCCATTCAAAGTCTACCTCCGCCTTTCGTGGTGCTTTTGAGACACCTTTTTACTCACTACTTAGATTCAATTATATTTTATTGCCTTTTTAAAGCATTATAGTGGCATATTAAAACGTTTAACTCAACATAAAAAGAGTACCATTTCTTCTAATTTAAAGGAGATAACCAAATTATCGCGAGATATGTGATACCGACAGCACCAACCCGGAGACAAGGAGGATATAAACATCGTGACTCGATTAGCTGAAGGTTTGTTTATTTATGTAAAGGAAGGAGACTTTTTTATGATAGAGAGGGAGTCTGTCACGACATAAATAAACAACAACAACAACAATAATAAGATTATACACATTTATATTTTATTAATTGTCAGATAACTTTTATTTAAAAGCGGAACATAAAAATAAGTTGCTTTAAATCCAATGATAATAATCGTTTGATGAAGCAGTCATTACTGCATTATAAATCGCATTTTTTTAAAAAGTAATTAATTGAAAATAAATTTCAAAAAAATCTACATTTTTAATCAGGAGGACAATGCTTTTGTCATTTAGGTCCTAAAAGTTACTTACAGTAAGACACATCCCTGACATATGCTGACCTATTTTAACGAGTTTTTGAAATAAAAGGCAGATGTGGTAAAATTGGCAGAAAAGCTCAACTGCTGAATCCTAAAAGAAAAAGGAAAAGAAAAAAATACCCAGAAAACCCCCCCCACCCCCAGCTTATTATGCAGTGCTTCACTTTCGCACTCAGCACGATAGGTTATGACTGGTCGGCCGGTGTGTTCTGCCAGCATCTAAATGTGACGTTATTGGTCAGAGACGCTTTCACACCCCCAGTTTCTCTCTTCACATTTCTTATCAGCGGCCTATTTTAGGACCCATCTTATTTATACAAACAGGATGAACAGCCTGTGTTTTTTTCTCCTCTCCTGTCACGTTTCATCTTCAGGTAAAATTATCCCTTTTTATTTCTGTAAAGCACGTCTGTGCTGCAACAGCTGTTATTGTCCTTTCTTCCTGTATAACGGTACTCTGATGCTGCGTTTTTAGTTTTACTTTCGTCTTTAATTTTATCATCTCCTAAATTACAATTATTTACACGTAGGAGGAAGTTAGAAATAGCTCATAAATGCACTGCTGAAACATCTCCTCCTAATTTAGTTAATATTATTGATATTTAATCCGCAGTTATCACGAGGAAAAACTGCTGACATTGTCAACCCGTTGATATCGTCACACGCAGTTCCCATTAATGTAACTAAAGTGGTTGTATATCAGCAACAAATAGTACTACTACTCCTTCTTGTGATACGGCTGCTACTACTATTGAGTTTAAATGAGAATATTAGTACATCATTTGTTATTATATACTATATATATGGTATATATAATATGGTTATTATATATACCATATTTAAACACCGGGGGGCAGTGTAGCCAACAAAGCGACAATCTGCTATTTCAACCTGAGACAGTCCTATAAAAAAGGAGATAGAAGTATATAATACAGATATGATAGATTTGACTTAAGATGAAATTAGCTTAAAATTCACGAGAAGGAATTTTTTAAGAGCAATAAATACTGAATTATTAGTAAAATTACATTATAAATAAATTCATTAATGGCATGTTTTCCTCAACAGTGAAACACTCCCTGAAATATTTCATCACTGCTTCCTCTGGGATCTCAGACTTCCCAGAATTTGTTGGTGCGGCTTTAGTTGATGGGGTTTTAGTGGGCTACTGCGACAGCAGCATCAGGAGAGCTGAACCCAAACTGGACTGGATGCAGGAGTTAATAAAAAAAGATCCTCAGCACTTGGAGTGGTACACGCAGAAGTGCTCTGGGAATCAGCAGGTCTTCAGAGCCAATATTAATAGTTTGAAGAAGCGCTTAAACCAAACTGAAGGTACACTAATATCACCCTTTACCTAAAATGTTGCTCTTTTCATTCACACACACAGCAAGACTTACATCCTCCCATCATAATTTATTTCATTTTATTTGGAGGTTTTCATTTACACACCGAAAACACTCAGTCTACCACATAAGTAAAATTACAAGTAAGATATTTACTCTGTTCTAGTGACCAGAATAAATTACTGACCTAGTTTAATTTGCTCTGTTAGAGGGATGGCAAGAAAAAGCCCTGCTATATACAAAGTCACTGTCACTGTGTACATCAACAGTAGCTGAAGTAAATGGTTACTTCCAAGGACAAGAATAATAAAGATGAGAATTTATTTTCCTGTTATGATGCGGGTGTTGTTTTGATGATAAATATTGACGACTCGCAGCAGGATTTACCTTTCTGATCATCTTTAACCATCCACAACTTTACTGCCTCTGCATTCTCTCTCTCTCTCTCCCTGTCAGGTGTTCACATTTTTCAGAGGATGAATGGCTGTGAATGGGACGATGAGACTGATAAAATCACAGGCTTTAATCAGTATGGTTATGATGGGGAAGACTTCATAGCGTTGGACCTGCAGACACTAACATGGATTGCTCCTAAGCCACAGGCTGTCGTCACGAAACTGCAGTGGGATACTGAAAAACCCAGATTAGAGCACAACAAGAACTACTACATCAACAGGTGCCCCGACTGGCTGAAGAAGTATGTGAAATATGGGAGGAGCTTTCTGCAGAGAACAGGTAGAATTACATATGCTATTATATTTCGTTGCAAAAGCTTCCCTTTCTGTTTCTATTCTACAGCACCATTTCAAGGAAAATGAACCAGTGCATAGACAAGCATTTCATCAATGACTATCAGCTGTCCCAGATAAAGCCTCTCTCCCTATTTTGTTTTTATCTTTTCCCAGTTCTTCCCTCAGTTTCTTTCCTGCAGAGGACTCCCTCCTCTCTAGTCAGCTGCCATGCTACAGGTTTCTACCCAGAGAGAGCCATGATGTTCTGGCGGAGAGGTGAAGAGGAAATTCACGAGGGTGTGGAGCATGGAGAGATCCTCCCCAACCACGACGGGAGCTTCCAGATGAGCGTTGAGCTGAATGTTTCATCAATCAAGCCAGAGGACTGGAGGAGGTACGACTGTGTGTTTCAGCTCTCTGATGTTAAGGAAGACATCATCACCAAACTGGACAAGACAGCGATCCGGACAAACTGGGGTGAGAAAGGCTCAGGAATTAAGTTCTGTATCTCAAAGTTTACAACACCATCATATTTAAAAAACAAACAAACTCTGAAACAAATGTCTGCATGAAATTCTTGAGTCAACAGAAATTCATTAGTGATGTCATTTTAATGTCAAGAAATTACAACTGTTTGTAATGTAAAATATTTTGCACAGTGTCAGAGGAAACAATGGAGACATTAATTAGGATGAAAGGGAGTTTAATCTGCTAAAGTTTCTCAAATGTGCCAAATCTGATCGTAGGCATGAACCAATATAATGAACACCAAATATTGTACAACCTCATCATATAACCATGTATAGAAGAATGGTGCTAACATTTACACTAAGGAGAAGTTTGATAACAAAAAAGCCAAAAATGCATAATTAAATCAGGCTGAAGCAGTATATACAGTGTCTGCTTTTACATTGTAAACCATCCTAAGCACAAATTTTCTTTCTTTATGATCCAAACTGAGATCTGGCCACTACAGATCTCATGAACCACACCATTGAAGAAGAAAATGTTCTTCTTAACCACATACAATGTTCAGAAGTGATGCATTAACACTGGAAACAGCAGCTTGGTTTGGCAGCAGTGTGAATGATCTTACATTTTGGACCTTTTCAGTTTCTCCCTCAGTGTTTCCTGTTGGTCCTGTTGTTGGAGGTGTTGGAGGAGCTTTACTCCTCCTGGCAGTCTTTGGTTTCTCCATCTGGAGAAGAAACAACAATGGTGAGATTACAGCAGATTTTACTCCAATAATGAATTTGGAATTTATGCACCTTGTAGTTATATGTACTTACATGATATTTTTGGTGATATTTTTAGTGAGTTATTTGATAATTTGGCTTTGCTAAACTCTGTCATGTTAATCATTTTGTTTTTCATTATTCTGTCTGTATTTCAGGGTTCCAGCTTACAAACAGTGAGTAATGTTAATAAAATGCCGCAACTTGTTTTTACTTTGTTAGTAACTGATACTCTGTTTACTGTAACAGGAGACATTTCATTTTCTGTTCTCTGTTTGTCTTAGCAGGGGAGCAGTGACGGTGAGAAGAACACCGAGTTTCATCACATTTTCCCAGAAAGGGAAATATTTTCATTTGGAGAGTGCTGATGACCCACCAGCTTTCATTAGCTGAACATACAGTATACATAGAAAGATGCAGCTTTCAGGTTTGAAGAACAATGCAAATGAAAAGCGTTAAACCAGTGCAAAGTGGGAGAGTTATCTGACTGTATGGAGGACAGCCAAACAGCTGCTTTACATTTTGATCTCAGTAAACAGTTTTCTGATGAGTTTATAATCTCAGTCACTAATTTCAAGTGTTACAACATGACGCTCGTTCAGAAACTAGGGTATGCTTTAGGATGGGCCTAAATTGTGTAGTTAGCATGAAGTGCCTCATTTCTCTGTCCACTCCTCAATCAGCAATGGCCAAAATGATCTGTTTGAAGCTGCAATGATGTGACTTCACTAACATCTGGGTGATGATATTGATAATGATATTTAAAAAAAAATTATTTAATAAGCATATTAAGTGTGTGAAAAGAGTTAAAATCTGTTTCTGTTTTCTGTGGTTTTGGTACATGTTCAGAGTTTTTACAAGGTCTGTTTCCTTCTAACCAGCTATTTACTCAATATGATGTAAACATATACGGTACTGTGCCCTGCATAGAGAGTTGTTTAAATATTTTTGAACCTTTATTTTGATAAGACCTTAATTATTATACACAGAGATAACATGCACAACAAAATAAAAGAAGCAAACTTTTATCCTTTGCTCTGTTGCTGACTGTGTTTGTCTCTGTTCTAAACCTCTGTTGTGTGAGTTTAGGCTCATTTGAAAACAACAAACATCAATCCTGAAAATAAGTCCTGTCTAAATCGAGGGTAATGCAAGATATTAAATAGAAAAATTGAATTATAAAACAAAAATTAAATTATGTGGATGCATAAATATCTGATTAAATCTTCATAATTACTCTGTCTCGCCAATACACTGTGTATCAGAAAGTATACCTTATATGTATATACACTACAATTCTGATAGCTGAAACGGTTTTGACTGAATAGTCTTTTGTTTCAACAGTTTGTGATTAGATATTTCTATTTAAATGCGTGGGAACTTTGGTTGTGATAGTTGATGTAGTGGTAGCTTCCTCATGAGGACAGTGAGACTTCAGTCTGACACGCCCACATTCCACAGGTTGAGGACGAAGCATGTTTCAAATCTGCTGACAAAGGTTTGAGCTCCAGGATTTCCAGAACAAAATGAAGTTGCTTGCACTGCTCCTCTTCTGTAACACTGCGTCTTCAGGCAAGATCACATCGTAACTCTTACTGTTACTTTCTGCAGGGATTGTTGGAAGGGTTGTTTGATTTGATTACATTGTCTGTATTTGGTTACTATCCTGTGTAGCAACAAGCTGTGGAAGTTTTACTTTCACTTTTAAAGCGAGCGTTTTAAAGTTACTTTGCTTTAAAAATGTTGCGTTTGTCTTAGAAGCAAATCAGATTAATTAAATTTAAATAAAAAATCCATCCATCCATCCGCTTATCCTTTTCAGGGTCGCTGGAGCCTATCCCAGCTGTCATAGGGCGAGAGGCAGGGTACACCCTGGACAGTTCGCCAGTCTGTCGCAGGGCTAACACACAAGGACAGACAACCATTCACACTCACATTCATTCACACATTCACACCTAGTGGCAATTTGGATTATCCAATTAACCTATCCCCACAAGCTGCATGTCTCCGGAGTACCCGGAGGGAACCCACGCAAACACGGGGAGAACATGCAAACTCCACACAGAAAGACCCCGGCCTGATGGTGGAATTGAACTCAGGACCTTCTTGCTGTGCGGCAACAGTGCTAACCACCGTGCTGCAAAATAAAAAAAAAATAAAAAATTATTTCCCCCCTTTTGCAGAATTATCATCTGAATGCACTGTTGTGCCAAACACAGCTCTATAGACTTCTCTTGTTTGTGTGTGTTCATTTGTTTATTTATTTCTATTATTTATTTATTTATGAAATACTATTTTTATATTTATATCTATTACCTATTATTTTCAATGTACACGTGAAATTTGGCAATGACAGAGCTGAAATTCGAAATTAATCTAATAAAACAGAAATTATACAAGATTAACCAAATTACAAGACAAGATTATCAATAAACCAGTCACTCCTTGTTGTTCCCATGTTGAGACTGAAACGCCAGGGGGACCGAGCCTTTGCTGTTGTGGCTTGCAAATGATGGAATAAGTTGCGCCTCCATATTAGGGTGGACCCAACACTTGCAATTTTTAAATCACTTTTAAAAACAAACTCTTTTGCCAAGGCGTTCTAGGAGTAGTACCAGAGTTTGTAGTCTTAGTCAGTTTTTGGTTACTTTTAATCTTCTTTACTTTGTTAATTTTATTTATTTCATATTTTAATATCTATTTATTTTATTCATGTTTTACAAGTTATTTATTCATTTTTTAAAATCTTTTTTCATGTATTTATTTATTTTATTGTTATTTAATTTTCTTTGTGTGTTTAATGTATTTTTTTTTAAACTTTTATCATTGTTTTTCACTGGAAAGTACTTCAGTCAGCCATGTTGTTTTTAAAGTGGTCTAAAAATAATGTTGGATTGGAGTAAATAAGAAGAAGAACTGAAAAGAAATAAAGGGTGAAATGAACATACAGATCCTCACTGAGAGAGTGAAATGGGTAGTTTCAGCACTCATGGAAAAATACTGTAACTGTGCATAAGTATAGTATGTAACTAATGAACAATTTTTGCTGTCTCATAAAACATAGTCTAAGTGGAAAATGGCGTAAATAACAAATACTATTTTTCCCTTTCATTTGATTCTCTTTGTTAATGTACAATCTTTATTTTACATGAGTAAAAATGACAAAAATATTAGGTTTATAACATGTTCTTTAGTAACCCACTGTGATAAAACAGCTTTAAAAACACTTCTAAAATGTATCTTGAAACTTAAAAATTTCTCTCCTCACAGTGAAATACTCCCTGAAATATTTCCTCACTGCCACGTCTGGACTCCCAGACTTCCCGGAGTTTGTGGCTTCTGCTTTGGTTAATGGAGTTCAAGTGGGTTACTGTGACAGCAACATCAGGACAGCCGAACCCACACAGGACTGGATGAAAAAACTAGTAAAAGACGACCCTCAGCACCTGGACTGGTATTCTGAGAAGTGTTTCGGAAATCAGCAGGTCTTCAGAGCCAACATTGATAGCTTGAAGCAACGCTTAAACCAGACTAGAGGTAAAAAGATAATGACATATATATTCTATGTGTACGTCCATGTTTAACTTTATCTTGCTGTCATTATTTTATGACTTAGCAGATATGCTTCTCTCAGGTGTTTTGTCACTTTGGTGTAGTACAATGTAGTAGTCAGTGTAACCACATGTAAAACACATGCATGCATTCATTAACACATTTTTTAAGAAAAATAAAATAAATAACAGGAGATATGACTTTTTTTTGTTATGTTTTGTTTATCTAAAATCTGTCCAAGTCCAAATAACAAAACATCTTTTTTGTTTAGATATTCATGGAGAAGTTCTGGTAGTTTTATTAGATTATTTACTGCTGTATGGATTTACATTATGCACTGCCATTCTTGCCCAAGAGTGGCTCTGATTCTGTTTATGCCTTTGCCATTAACTAAAATCTCCATCTAAGTGTCTGTGAAAACCTCACAGTGTCCCATGTAGTCTAGAACTGCTCAGCATTTTCTTTATTGTTCTCCTGCCCGATATATGTATATTGTAATGATTATATTAGTCAAAAACTAATTTAATCCACCTATGATAATCAATTCATGACATTTGGCTCTGCTTCAATCTCTCCTTACAGGTCCTTACATCTTACAGAGGATGAATGGCTGTGAATGGGATGATGAGACTGAAGAAATTAAAGGTTTTAATCAGTACGGTTACAATGGTGAGGACTTCATAGCATTGGACCTGCAAACACTAACATGGATCGCTCCCAAACCACAGGCTGTCATTACAAAACTGAAATGGGATGCTGAAAAAGCTCGATTAGAACACAACAAGAACTACTACATCAACAGGTGCCCTGACTGGCTGAAGAAGTATGTGAAATATGGGAGAAGCTTTCTGCAGAGATCAGGTAGGATTATATTTCTTAGTCTGTGCAGACATATGTTATGTACCCATTGTATCTCTAATCCACAATAACATTCCAGTGAAAATGAAAAAAATATCCCATGACATCTGTTCAAAACATCTGTCTCAGTTAAGACTCATTTGCTTTACAGTTCTTCCCTCAGTTTCTCTCCTCCAGAGGAGTCCTTCATCTGTAGTCAGCTGCCACGCTACAGGTTTCTATCCTCACAGAGCAAGAATGTTCTGGAGGAAAGATGAAGAGGAGTTTCATGATGGTGTGGACAAAGGACAGATCCTCCCCAACCATGACGGCAGCTTCCAGATGAGTGTTCAGCTGAATCTTTCATCAATCAAGCCAGAGGACTGGAGCAGGTACGACTGTGTGTATCAGCTCGCCGGTGCAGAGACAGACATCATAACCAAACTGGACAAAAAAGTGATCCAAACCAACAGTGGTAAGACAGGCTCAGAAGTCATGTTATTGCTGTTAAAATACTGTAGTTATAGTGTCTTTGTCTTCTTTATATGTCACGTAGCCGGATATGTCAAAGTTGAACTCTTGTACTTATTTCCAGCTGGATTTTGTTTTATTCTACAAACCTGCTAGAGTAGCTTTACGTGATGATTCATAGTTCAAGACAACTCCTATTTAATTTATGTATCCTACAAATACTGCTGGATTATCACTAGGGATGGGTATTGATAAGATTTTCACGATTCCGATTCCATTTTCGATTCTGTTTAACGATTCGATTCTTTATCGATTCTCTTATCGATTCTTTTTAAAAAAGGAGAACACTAAGTTTGATTAGCTTAGAACTTTGTTTTTTATCTTCTCTTTGAACAAGATAGAAATTTAGGAGTAACATGGCCTTAAAAACCCAGCAGTGAGATCTTAAGAGATCCACAGCCTACGGCTCTTCAATGTGGTGTCACAGGGACCCCGGGGAAAAAAAATTGTAAATGTAAAATAATAAAATAAATATTCTTCTGTAGCAATAACAAAGTATAACATAAATTATTCTGTAGCAATTACACAAGAATATCCAGTAATGTCCCTGCCTGCAATTAAACACATTCACTTACCGAAAATCGGGGCATCTGCTGCGGCAAATGGCTGCAAGCCTTTGACCACAAACTGAGTCACTGCTCGGTAACATTAGTCTATCCTGGCTTGAAAGGAGACGCTACCGGTAGACTGCAGCGAGAACTGCCAGCGAGCGCCAGCCAGACTCTGTCTCTCTCATCATGGTCACCTAAACGCGCAGTAATGGCAGATAAGGCAGATCGCGCTAACATAATATGCACTGTTAGCTGATTATTTACCAGAGGTGTGGACTCGAGTCACATGACTTGGACTCGACTCGAGTCATTAATTTTATGACTTTAGACTTGACTTGAAAAAATGTTCTAAGACTTGTGACTTGACTTGGACTTTTACACCAATGACTTGGGACTTGAATTGGACTTGAACCGGTTTACTTGAAAAGACTTGATATTTTACCCCAAATATAAAATTTAACATGCATATTATATAGAGATTGAAAATGTGACGTCATTCACGGGTAGAACCGCAAAGGATTCTGGGAACTCGTGGCAAGCGGTACTAGCGCACGCAG